TGCGGCCCTCTGCAGCACTCGAGGGCCGCGGCCGTGCTGCCCCTCACGGCACCACCGAGGCGACTCGTCCATGAACCTAATAGGATAATCCAGAGGTGGAGGTGAAGGAGGAGAGAGGAGGAGGAGAAGAGGAGGAGAGGAGGGGAGGAGAGGGTGGAGAAGATGGATGATAGAAAGAGAAGCGGCTGGATGATGGAGGATGGATGGGAAGAGAAGGATTAAGGAAAAGGAGAAGACATTGACGAAGGAAGGAGTTCAGGCTCTATCACACCAGGACTTTTCCGTCAACTTTTGTGCCTCTGTTTGAACTTTGCGGATGCGTTTGCCCAACCCTACAGGACTGGCAGAAACCCCCCGTCTCGGTTAGTACTCAAACGATCCCAAATGAACAAACTTGGCGCTAAAGAATTAAGAAAAGGGGTACTAAAGCTTTTTTTAAGTGTCTCGTCTGCAAAACAGCAACAGGCAAGCAAGAGAGAGAGAGGGAAAGAGCGGAGGGAGAGAGAGAGACAGAAAGACTGAAACAGACAGACAGACAGAGAAAGAGATAAATAGATAGTGAGAGATAGACACAGATATCGAAAGTTGTATCACAGAAATCTCATCGAAACTTACCACAGAGTAGGCAAGAAGGCCAGACACAGCAAAGACACGGTCAGCTGAAGCATCCGCCATTCCCGGACGAGGTAAGCGAACCCGCCCCACGCCATGAGACCAAGCGCCCATGGCAGAAACAATGCAATGCCGATATGCGTGCGCCACTTGGGATCCGCGACCTCCATGCCTGCGAAAATTGATAACGCTCTAAATGGTTTTGTACTTTCTCTCTATCTCTTTCTACCTATCTATCTCTCTCTCTCCCCCCCCCCCCTCTCTCTCTCTCTCTCTCTCTCTCTCTCTCTCTCTCTCTCTCTCTCCACCCTTCCATCCTCATCGTTATTGCCATCTGTATCTCTGTCCACTGCCTTTCCTATACCTTCTCCCCTCTTTCTCTACCTGTTCCTTTTCCCTTGCCTTCTCCCTCCTCCGCCACCCCTCACCTAGTATATATCCCGTCTTCTGTATCGTGGGGTCGACGGCGCCCATGAGAAAGCGCGAGAGCAGGAGAGCCGAGAGGTTGGGGATCCAGCAGGAGCCGATGGCCAGGCGGAGTAGGCGACAAAACCCACGGCCATGTCATCTTACGCCCGTACCTGTTTAATGGTAGAATTTTAAGTTATTTAGGATTCTATATCCCTAAGATGAATTTTAGGTTAGTGATACTCGTTTTATAGTATAAGGCTGCTGACATTAGATTTTCCAATTCTTAGAAGAGAAAGTATGGCTATGCAAAACAGACTAGATATGTGGATATACGAAAATTCACTTTTTAATAATAAAAAATTATCCTTAATGTAGAAAAGGTTTGGCTATAGCTTT